TTGGATTTGGAAGTAGAAGCCCCGGGTTTAATTTCCACTTAACTTCCCTGTGCCTCAGTTTCCTCATCTATAAATTGAGAGAGTTGAACTTGACAGCCTCTAAGATCCTATCCTGCTCAATGATCCCATGATCATCTATGATCTATGATGAAATCATGATCCTATCTGTGATCATTGTAGTTTAAATTATTGAAATATGACTGACAACCCCCCCATTTTTGTTTCTGCCATGAGTTAATAATTAACTTTTAATATTTAACAAGACTCATGTTGTCCAGCAGGTGATGAATTTTTAAGCCACAGTCTTCTAGATGGCCTTCTAAAGTGAGGGTGTACTATGACAAGCATGGGTACCGGGAGTAACCACCCTGGTGAAATCAGATCCTTGACACTCTGAAGAATTCAGGAGCAATAAGAGGTGGCCTTATTCACATCTTGCCAAAAATAGCACCATTCCTCTCACTAATTCTGGTGGGGGTGGAGTTCTCATTATGTTTGCTTGTGACAAAGGAGCGTGGCTGGCAGAATGAATTCTCTGAAGCTCTTTTATCTGTAATGTGGTATGTGGACTGAAAGTTTGAAAATGATTGCTTGCTAGCATCTGGCCCGGAGAGAGCTAAAAATTGCATCACTAAGAACTTTTTGACAAAATATTAGGTTTATACATTTCTATAATTTGAATACAGCAAATTCAAAGGCAAAATGATAGAAGACAGAGATACAGTAACTGACAGCTGCAGCAATATACAAGGTGTCCCCAAAGTCTTTTTTTTTAATTTTTTAAAAAAATTTGTTAATTTTTAACATTTTTTTTTGTTTTTAGTACCAGATTCTCTTCCTCTTTCCCACCCCTCCCCTACCTTCTAAGAAGGTAAATAATATGATATCAATTATACATGTGAAATCATGCAAAACACATTTTAGCCACGTTGCCAAAAAAAAAAAAGCAAAAGAAAGTAGATAAAGCAAGAAAATTATTTTTCAATTGGCACTCAGAGTTTATCAGTTCTCTCTCTGGGGAGTAGCTAGCATTTTTTCATTAAGAGTCCTTTGGAATTATCTTGGATCACAGTATTGATCAGAGTAGCCAAGTCTTTCACAGTTGATCATCATTACAACATTGTTACTGTGTACAGTGATCTCCTGGTTCTTCTCACTTCACCTTGTATCTGTTCATATAGATCTTGCCATCTTTTTTCTGAAACCAAACTTCTTGTCATTTCTTGTAGCACAACAGTATTTCATCACAATCATATGTCACAACTTGTTTAGCCATTTCCCAATTGATGGGCATTCCCTCAATTTCCAATTCTTTGCCACCACCAAAAGAGCTGCTATAGTATTTATGTTCATATAAGTCCTTTCCTTTTTTTTCTTTGATCTCTTTGGGTTACAGACCCAAAGTAGTGGTATTGTTGGATCAAAGGGTATGCACAATTTTATACCCTATTGGGCATGGTTCCAGAATGTTGTCCAGAATGTTGAGTCAATTCATTACTCCACCAACAGTTTATTAATGCACCTATTTTGCCCTCATCCTCTCCAGCATTTGTCAATTCTGACAGATGTAAGGTGATACCTCAGAGTTATATTAATTTTCCTTTCTCTAATCAATAGTGATTTAGAGCTTTTTTTTATATGACTATAGATAGCTTTGATTTCTTATTCTGAAAACTGCTCGTTCATATCCTTTGACCATTTGTTAATTGGGGAATAGTTGTGTTTTTTTTATAAATTTGGTTCAGTTCTCTGTGTTTTTGAGAAGTGAGACCTTTATCAGAGAAATTTGCTATAAAATTTTTTAAAATATTACCTTATTGTCTATGGTACCTTTTTAGCAAAATATAGTTTCCCCAATTATCTCTTACAATTAGGTCTATTTTTGCTTTTGCTTTGTCTGAGCTCATGATTCCCACCCCTGCCTCTTCACTTCAGCTAAGCGTAATAGATTCTGTTCTAGCCCTTCATTTCAACCCTGTGTATATCTTTCTGTCCCAAGTGAACACAACATATTATTGGATTCTAGTTTGTAATCCATTCTTCTATTTGTTTCCATTCTACAAGTTAGTTCATCCCATTCACATTCTATTATGATCACTAACTATGCATTTCCATCCACCCCATTTTCCTCTGTTTATTCTTCTCTCTCTCTTTTTATCCTGCCCCTCCTCAAAAGTCTATCTTGCTTCCAACCACTGCCTCCCCCAATCTGTCCTCCCCCTTTTTATCACTCCCCCATATCTCTTATCCCGTTCCCTTCTTATCTCCCTATTGGATAAAATAGATTTCTATACCCAACTCAGTGTTTGTATACATTTTTCCCTCTTGGAACCAATTCCAATGAGAGTGAGGTTCAAGCATTACCTGCCACCCTCCATTTCCCCCTGTACTGTAAAAACATTTCCTTGTGCCCCTCTTTTATGTAAGAAAATTTTCCCCATTCTACCTCTTTCTTCCCCTTATCCCAGGAAATCCCTTTTTCTCACCTCTCTTCATTGTTTTTTTTTTTTGGAGATCATTCCAAATTACATTCCATGTAATTGACTCACATCCATGCCCTCTGTCTATGTAAGTTCTTTTTATCTGCCATTATACGATAGTTCTTAGGAGTTGCATGTATCATTTTCCTATATAGGAATGTAAACAGTTTAACTGTATTGAGTCCCTTATGATTACTCTTTCATGTTTACCTTTTTATTCTTCTCTTGAGTCTTGTGTTTGAATGTCAAATTTTCTATTTAGCTTTGTTTTTTTCATGAGGAATGCTTGAAAGTCCCCTATTCCATTAAATGTCCATTCCCCCCTCCCACCAAAGTACAAATACTATAAATATGCAATAAGTACAAATACTATAAATACTCAGTTTTGCTGGGTAGGTTATTCTTGGTTGTAGTCCTAGCTCCTTTGCCTTTTAGAATATCATATTCCAAGTCCTCTACTTCTTTCTCATAGAAGCTATTAAATCTTGTGTGATCCTAACTGTAGCACTACAGTATTTGAATTGTTTCCTTCTGGTTGCTTAAAGCATTTTTCCCTGATCTGGAAGCTCTGGAATTTGGTTACAATATTCCTGGGAGTTTTAATTTTGAAATCTCTTTCAGGAGGTGATTGGTGAATTCTTTCCATTTCTATTTTACTCTCTGGATCTAAGATATTAGGGCAGTTTTCTTTAAGTATTTCTTGAAATATAATGTCTAAGCTTTTTTTTGATCATGGTTTTTAGGATAATTCTTAAATTATTTCTTCAGTGAGATTTGGTACCTCTTTTTTCATTTGACCAATTCTGCTTTTTAAGAAATTCTTTCTTCAGTGAATTTTTGTGCCTATTTTACTAGTAGGCCAATTCTGTTTTTTTAAGGTGATATTTTCTTCAACATTTTTTGTGCCTCTTTTACCAAGCTGTTAATTCTCTTCTCATAGTTTTCTTGCATCATTCTCATTTCCCAATTTTTCCTCTACCTTTAATTCATCCAAAAATTCTTGCTGTCCTTGGGGACAATTAGCATTTTTCTTTGAGACTTTGCTTTTAGCTTTTTTCACATTGTTTTCTTCTTCTAAATTTATGTCTTGGTCTTCCCTGCCATGGCAGTAGTAGTAGCTTTTAATGGTCAAGTTCTTTTTTGGTGTTGTTTGCTTATTTTCCCAGCCTATTTCTTAACTTTAAAATTTATGTTAAAGTTGGGCTCTGCTCACCAGGAGGTGAGAAGGCTCTGTCCCAAGCTTCAGGCTTTTTTTGTGCTGCTGTTTTCAAAGCTAGTTCTGGGGGTCTGCAAGTTTTGGGAGAGGAGTGGTCACTTCTTTCCTGGTCTGTACTCTGGTCTTTACAAAGGAAGTGTCCCTGATCCCCTAAATCCATAAGTATTAGCATTCCTTTTGGTCCCAAAACTGTGACCAGGGCCCCTGGTCCCTTGTGACTAATCACAAGCACTCCTCTCTTCCCTGGAACTTTGACCCAGAACTGCGTATGGGCAATAGAGTTGCCAATCAGTGCCAGCTGCATGTAGTGCCAGCAAACGGTCCACTGTATTCTCTTTCTGAACAGTTGTCTGACTCCCTTACTGCCTCTGGTCTGAGAGTTCCCAAAGATGCTACTGCTGTTGTACCCTTCTCCAAGGCCCACTGCTGGTATTCCTGCTTTGCCCTGGGCCTGTGCCCACTCCAGTGTTACAGACTTCTACTATGGACCTCCTAAGTTGTCTTAAGCTAGATAAATGTCTCCCTCTGACCTTTTGTTGGCTCTGCCACTCCAAAATTTGATTCAAGGTATTATTTTAAAGTCATTTGAAGGGAAAGGTTGGGAGAGTTCAGCTGGATCCCAGTCTGTGCTTTGCCATTTTGGCTCCACCTCTTGTCCCCAAAGTCTTAATGCGTTTTTAAACTATTAAAATTTATTTAACAAAAAGGCAGGGAGGAGGTTGCCTGTGGCTACCTATTTAGTTATCTTCCTGGATGATTGACCCTGTATAAAAAGATTTGTATTCTGCTAAGCAATATAAAGTAAATGGAAATTAGTAGAGAACTTATTTAATAGCTTTAAACTGCACTAAGACTTTTGGGACATGATAATGTGGTGTATTGAAAAGAATCCTTGATTTGGAATCTAGAGGACTTATGTTCCAATTCTGGCTTAGTCACTTACTACCTGTGTGACTTCGGGCCAGTCACTTGAAATCTCTGGGCCTCAGTCCCCTCACCTGTTAAATGAGGGGCCTGGAGTAGATGGGCTCTGCAGTTTTGTCTCATCCACCTCTGAATCAATGATCCTGTGATCCTAATGACCCAAGGAGAGTGAATGGATATCCCATGATGTCTCTAAATGCCTTATGTTTGTTTTCTGTCTTACAGGATTTCTTTCTACTTTAGGGAATAATTTGGTATAATTTTCTTTGAAACATTTTGCCATTTGTTGTTACTGTGAGAGAGAAAGGAAAGAGAGAGAGATATGAGTATTTTTAATTACTGTATGCTAATGGTGCTTCTGCCTGGGTTTTGTTTTTTAGGCTCTGTCTACCATTTTGATAAGTCGACTCCATCCTGCATTTCTACAAATCCCCTTCTTCCTGATCCTTACGAGTCAGAGAGGTGGGCTGTGTTTTTTTCCTTCAGAATTTTAAAATGACTCTCATTTCACTTATCTAATATGAAACAGCTATGGAGTTAGTACTAGAGCTATATGGTGGTACTCTGTATGGTTGAGCTTACTTACTCATTTAATAATAATCATGACTCTGTTTTACACAACACTTTTAAGTTTCAAAGTTCTTCACCTATGGTATCTCATTTGGGCTTCACAACAATCCCGGGAGATAATTATGCAAATATGATTAACCCATTTTATGGATGAGGAAACTGAGGTTCAGAGAAGTTAAGTGACTTAATATTATTATTGTTCAGTCAGTCTATAATAAGCATTTATTAAGCACCTACTACATGCCAAGCACTGAGTTAAGCTCTGGGGATACAGAGAAAGGCAAAAGACAATCTCTGCCCTAAAGGAGCTCACAGTTTAATGGAAAAGTCAGCTTAAAAATAACTATGTACAAACAAGATAGAGAAAATAAATTGGAAATAATCAACAGAGGTTATACCCTACTGTACAATGCCATATGTTTCCTCTTTATTTCAACCTTTTTTAATATGAAGTACTTACTGAACATGACTTTATCAGCTCTGCCTTTCACACTGTTGTTTAAAAGTTTCATTCCCAATTAAAATGACCTTACTTTTAAGCATTAACAAGCTAAGGTAGGACTTTCTTAAGTTTTTGGAAAGGTTTCCCTCGGGAAGTATGGAGGGAAAAGTAGCTTTAGTGAACTAGTGAAAAATTTACATTTACCAAAAATACAAAATGTTATTTTTTAAAAAAACACAAAAACTAAAAACTTCAACATGGTGTTATAAGACCTTTCTAAAGGTAATCTCTTCCTTCTCAAAAGAGACTTATCTTGTGCTTTTTTCCAATTGCCAGGCAAAAAAGGTTTTAATTAGGCTTTAATTTTGTTTTTTCAGTCATTTCAGTGTCTAGCTCTTTGTGACCCTATTTGAGGTTTTCTTGGCAAAGATATTGGAGCAGTTTGCCATTTCTTTCTCCAGCTCATTTTACAAATGAGGAAACTAAGCCAAACAGGATGAAGTGACTTGCCCAGGGTCACACAGCTAGTAAATGTCTGAGGTCACATGTGAACTCACAAAAATGAGTCTTCCTAACTCCAGGCCCAGCACTCTATCCATTGGGCCACCTAGCTGCCCTTTAATGTTTTATTGATACTTTAAAAAAAAAACCCAACATTTTTTTTTTTTTGGTATCACTATCACTTCCCAATAACTTGACTTGTCCCCTAATAAGACTTTTCCTTCTATTGAGCCCATCTGCCAGGTCTGACAAAGGGTACACCTTGTATCTCAATTGTTCATTGCCTCTCCGAGCCAGGGGAGAGTTATTGGGCCCTTTCTTAGCCCCAGTCTTGTAAATAGCACAGGCAGACATTGTGGATAGAGGGATAATTGTGCTTCCGAGAGCTCCAGACCTTTCTGAAGGCTCATCTCTTACCCTTTGTTTTGGTTCTCTTTAGGGTTTATGTTGCTGAATCACACATTCCCAATGCTGGAGAAGGACTGTTTTCTAAAGTAGCAGTGGGACCTAACACAGTTATATCATTTTATAATGGTATCCGAATTACACACCAAGAAGTAAGTGTCACTGAGGAAGAGACAATCAGCTGATGAGGGCAAAGAGCACCATTGGGAATCTCAACAGTAGCAGCCATTAGAAAGATAAAGAGAAGAAAGTTGAATGCCTTTTGGGAAAGGAAAATCAACCTGGGCCTCCATTTCCCAGCTGTAAAGTGGGCTCACATTCCCTGCCCTTGCCTCTTTTACAAGCATGGGCATGTATCAAAAGTGAGCTCGTGCCCAAATTTGGGATCTAGGTTAAGAACAAATCAGTAACCTATCCCCTTTTCTGCCTCTTACCCAGATTGACTCAAAAGTTCTTGATTCAGAATCAAGGTGGTGAAATGATTTATATGAAGCATCCAAAGGGATTTTTTTTTTGCTTTTTTTTTTTTTTTTTTTGGTGAGGCAATTGGAGTTAAGTGACTTGCCCAGGGTCACACAGCTAGTAAGTGTCAAGTGTTTGGTCTGAGGTTGGATTTGAACTCAGGTCCTCCTGACTCCAAGGCCGGAGCTCTATCCACTGCACCACCTAGCTGCCCCATCCAAAGGGATTTTAAGGGTAGTTGTTTTTTTCCCTTCTAAGTTGTGCGCATTAAAAATAAATAGGAATTCTAACACCTGGGCAGACACATCTAAAGCAGGTGATTGAGAAAGGATGGGAGAACTTGGAGAAAGACCGCAGACTTCTTAGGACACAAGGTTCTATGGGGAGGAGATAGAGACCCCAGAGCCCTGGACATGGATATCTTGAGGGGGCTGCTGGGAAGGTGGCCACTGCTATGTTCTAGCTTCCTATTTTAAGGTATTTTGCTGACTAAGTATTGAGTTCATTTGTTTCTACCTACTAAAGCAATATAAAAACTATCACTCTCCTCTACTGGGGCAAGTCCTGGGGCAAAGTGCTGGTCACCCTGGCCTTGTTATGGCCCTACTTGTATGCCCCCTGGGAATGAGAGGGTGGAGGGATAGATGCTTCGTAACTTCATCGACTACAAAGTTGTAAGGACACACGCATTAATCCACCCAAAGCTCTTTACACTTCTTGGAAGAAAAGTCATAGCTCTGTGATGGTTATGATATTGTTTTTCTGAAAGGTGGATGACAGAGACTGGGACCTTAATGGAAACACACTCTCTCTTGATGATGAAACGGTCATCGATGTGCCTGAGCCCTACAACCACACATCCAAGTACTGTGCCTCCCTGGGACACAAGGCCAATCACTCCTTTACTCCGAACTGCATCTATGACGTGTAAGTACAAGCTGGAGGTGGTAAAGAGATGCTGGTCCTCTTGGCCCCATCACCTGAGAGACCTTGTGGTGAAAGGGAAGCATGCAGATCATTCATTAGCAGAGAACAAATTCCATCAGGCAGCTTGGGGTCCTGGAAAGACTTGATTTGGAGTCAGAAGCCCTGGGTTTGAATCCTGGCTCTCCTACCTCACCCCATGTTGCTTTGACTAAGTCACTTTATAGCTCTTGACTTCATTCTCCTCATCTACTAACTGGTAGGGGGAGGGGGAGAGACGTTGAACTAAATGATTTTTAAGGTCTCTTGCAGCTTAAAAATCCTATAATCCTCATCTATAAGGAGAGGATTCGAGTAGATGAGAATGCTAAGGTCTCTCAGCTCTCAACCTCATGACCATTTTAACATAAACAAGCCAATCTCTGACCTCGATGAGGTGCTAGATATTAAAGTGTTAGAAAAATTTTTTTAATAAATAAATAAATAAAGTGGTAGGCAGAGATCAAATGGAAGTGGGTGATTGTTATTTTCTCTGTCCTTATCTGTTCCACAAGAGTTGAGATATTAGACAGAAATGCTGGTATGATAAATTACTTTTGAGAAGTAATAGAGATGACTAAAATGTGGAGATGGTACATTGGAAAGAATGCTGGCTTTGCTGTTAGACAGGCCGAGGTTTGATCCCCAGCTCTGCCACTTAACTACCTGGGTGATGACCTCTGAGCAAGTCTTCTCTAGACCTCAGTTTCTCTCATCTGCAAAATGAGAGAGTTGTACTAGATGACCTTTGAGGTCCTTTCCAGCTCTGACTCCATGGGAAGAGCTTGGGAGTTGGCGTATTCAAATCCTTCATTTCCTCCTTCTCATGCTGTCTTGGGCAGGTCCTTTGTCTGCTCTCGGCCTCAGTTTGTTCTTTTGAAAAATGATGGAGTGACCTCTAGGTAACCTTAGAGGTATCTTCCAGTTCTATATCTATGATCCTACGATTTTAAAAGGTGTTAAGCAGGAGAAGAAAAGCAGACCACAGGCTACTCCTGCATCTCTGCTTAGCCAAGGACCTGTCATGCATGTTTCCATTCCTTTGAGGTCCATTTTAACATCCCTAGTAAAAATAGGAGCAGCAATACCTGGCTTTTATACAGGACTTTAAAGTTTATAAAGTGCTTTACAAATATCTAATTTCAGCCTCACGACAACCCTGTAATGCCGCAACTATTATTACCCCCATCTTACAGATGGGGAGACTGAGGCTCAGAGAAGCCTTGAAGCTTTTGGTTCGGTCATATTTTCAAAAGATAGGTAACAAAAAGACTTCCAGGCAGATTGGATGTGCTCGTCCATTCTGAAATAGATAGTTTTCCAAGCTCCGGGAAAATATCCCTCTTGTGACTAAGAGGAGGCATAAACATTGCTCGGGCATGAGACTTCTTTTTTCCCTGGCAGTTGATGACAAGTATTGAAGGAGGGCAAAGGGCTGTGTGATACAAAATGGTGTGGGCGCCAGCATTGTCCCCAGCTACACAAAGCCCAGAAATGAAGTTGAGCAACCTAATGATGGTGAACTCTCTCCAAGGTCCACCAATTCTGGGATCCATTGAAAGGGCAGAGTTTGTTTGTTTGTTTGTTTGTTTGTTTGTTTGTTTGTTTGTTTGTTTTCCCACAAAAGTGGAGGAAATGCAATGTGAAGTATGCTAGCATTTTTCTCTTCACCAATATACAACTTATACCTATAGGTATAAGATCCTCAGTAATTCAAAATAAAGAGGAAATGCCTTAGAAGTGGTTACCACTGCACAAATCATACAAAATCATGGGAAATGCATGCATGTGGCATGGGGGTGGGAGGCACTGCCAGATTGGGAATTCCTTCCACCAGTACTGATAGAAAATCACACCCCATCAATGATTTAGTAAGTACAGGCTAGGGAGTTGCCTGAAGCTCATGGAGGTTATGCAGTTTGGCCAGGGTCACACAGGTAGTAAGTTAAGTATCAAAGGTCTTCAAGTATCAAGTCTTCATGACTTAAAGCCCAGCGTTCCGTTCACTATATCACACTATCTCTACATTGTGTCATTTAGTTCAGTTTTCCTCAACATACCTGGTTCTGTCATGTAAGTTTTTAATTATACAAATCAATATTTCTTTCAAATACTTTAAAAATTATTCCAGCTGAATATCATTGGCAAAGAGAAGCAGCTCTTTTTGTAACTTCAAATATAGGTATGGTGGTATGTGAGTTATATTTTTAATATAAACAGTGTGCATTGTAAGTGCATAGTATGTTCTATGTGTTTATAGTGTGCATGTGTTATGTGTATGTTTGATGTATAGTATCTTGTATTTACATGTAGTGATTTGTGAGTATATAGTGTGCATGTGATTTGTGTGTATAGTGAACATGTAAATATGTACACAGGTACAGAGTGCATCCACGTGCACATATGTTTTGGACCCTCTCTATAGAAGGACAGAATGCTCATTAAGGGGGAAGGAGGTATGTGTGTATATGAGAATACATCCATGTATGCTTTGGTGTCCTAATCCTTCAATGGGTGGAGGGTGGTATAGTAGGTACAGGACTGTCTGTGGAGTCAGGAAGACCTGGGTTCCAATCCTGCCTCTGATGTTGTACTAGCTGTGACTTGCTATTTCTGTCTTCACAGAATTAGAGAATGTTAGAGCCGGAAGGGACCTTGGAGGTGATCCATTGCAGCCCCTTCATTTCACAGATGAGAGGACCAAGGCCCAAAGTGGGAAAAGTACATAGTTACCTCACTAGAAAGTGGTAGAAGCCAGGCTCATATCCAGATCTTCTGATTTCAGGGGCGATGTTTTTCCTTTGACAACACACTGTCTCCCAAGCTATCTGTAACTAAAATAGAAAAAAAGAACTGCATAAAAATTTGTCAGATTAATAAAGAGGCCATCAGATTATCTTGTGAGCACGCTGTGAAAATACGTTTGGATCTGCTCCCTCCAGGTGAATTTCAGTGCTAAAACTAGCAAGGTTTAAAACTTATTTTTTTTTTTTTTGGTGAGGCAATTGGGGTTAAGTGACTTGCCCAGAGTCACACAGCTAGGAAGTGTTATGTGTCTGACGCTGGATTTTAACTCAGGTCCTCCTGACTTCAAGGCTGGTGCTCTATACATTGCGCCACCCCATCCAGCTGCCCCCAAGGTTTAAAACTTTGAAGACCAGTCCCTCCATCACCTCCTACCACCGATATCATGGTAACATCTCTCCAACTGACATTGCAATTCAGAAATATGCAGTAGATAGAGCATTGGCCCTGGAGTCAGGAGGACCTGAGTTCAAATCCGATCTCAGACCAAACACTTAACACTTAATAGCTGTGTGACCCTGGGCAAGTCACTTAATCCCAATTGCCTTGCCAAACAAAAAAAAAAAATTCAGAAATAAGAAAGTGTCTAGACCAGCTTGGAGATTGCCAGCTCAGCACCTAACTTCTTTCTCTGCTTTCCATAGGGTTTTGATTGTAGTCATATTTTGTTTACTTTTGCAAACGAGTTTCCTGGAAAACAAGATTTTGATAGTGACATAAGATTAAGACGTTTAGTGTATCAGAGAGAGAGATTAGAAAATGATTGCTTTGGGGGACCCTGTACTGTTGAGAAAGGGAGGAAATTGGCAATAGAGAGAAAAGATACATTTTAATAATATTCTACTGAGAAGTTATTGAAATTTCCTGTGAAGAAGACCCCTAATCACCAAATCCTTTTCCACATCAAACTGTGTTATATTTCAGAATCCTCAGCATGCTACGTAGATATCTTGTTTTGATGAAAAGTGTAGCACAGGAAAAGTCAGGTTATATGAGCTCATTGTTGCTCCATATGAAACCCATCTTTTCCTTTCAATGCAATAACTTGGAAATAAGTCTCTGGTGTCCAAGGATCTATCTTAGGCCCTGTATTATTTATCATTTTTTGTCAATGGCATCAATAAAAGCATAGATCACATGCTTATCAAATTTTCAAATGCCAGCAATTAAGAGAGATAGGTGACTCAGTCGAGATTCAAATATAAGTGAATAGACTAGTACATTGGGATAGATGTCATAGAATAAAATTTAATTAGGATAAATGTGAAATTTCAGACTCAGGTTCAAAAAAACAACTTCACAAGTACAAGAGTGGGAAGCTATAGCTAGATAGATCATCTGAAAAAACAAACAACTGGGATTTTGAGTTGCCTCAAGCTCAGAGCAAGTCAATGGTTTGTTATTGGTAGCCAAGCATGTTAATACAATCTTCAGCTGTACAAATAGAGGCATAGTGCCTAGGGCAAGGCAGGTGGAGGGGGAAAGAATGGAAATGCTGCTATACTTCGACCTGGGAAGACCACCCTAGGTTATTATTTTGTTCTGGGCTGCCATATTTTAGGAAGGATGCTGATAATCAGGAGAGCATCAAAGGTGGTCCATGTGAGGATAAAGGAACTAAGTATGTTTAGCTTAGAGAAGACATAAGGGGAGCATGATAGTTCTCTTCAAAATATTTGAGGGGTTGTGAGAAAGGAGAATTAGGCTTGATCTCCTCAGCCCCTGGGGACAGAACTAGAAAAAGTGGGTGGAAATTGAAGAGTGAAAATCTTCAGTTTGATAGAAAGAAAAACTTAACGTAGAAATCCCCGAAGTGGAATGGGCTACATTGGAAAGTAGCATGCTCTCTCTTGCTAGAAATCTTTGAGCTAAGGCTGAATGGCCACTTATTGGATCTCTTGTAGAGGTGATGGGTATTCGGGCATGGGTTGGACTGTATGGACATTGGGGTCCCTTCCAACACTGAGACTGTGCTTTGTGAGTCCTTTACATACTCTAAGTTTACATATGGGCAACTCTTGAAGACTACAGCTTAGAGATGAGCTCCATCTTGGACTGGAAGAGGAATTCATGCTGACAGTTTTACACACATATGAAATCACAGGTCCAGACCCAAAAAATCATTCAGTGCAGAGATATAGTCATAAGAAGAGTCAGTGAGTCATGGTGGAAAGAGCATGAAACTTGGACTTAGAAGGCCTACATTAAAGCCTCAGCTCTTAAACTTACAGGTTCTGTGACTCTGGGCAAATACTAGATTTTTTTGGGCCTCTGTTTCCTTATCTGTAAAATGGGCTTAATTAGAATTCTAATTATCTATCCTGAAGGGTTAGTGTTAAAAGAAAGTGCTTGGTAAAGCTTAAAACACTAGTGAGAGAGACAGAGAGAGAGAGAGAGAGGTTAATAATAACCAACACCTGAAATAAATGATTTGGAGCTCTTTTCTCCTTTTTCTCTTTCCACCCCTTGAAAGCTTTTTGCTAATGAGTATGGAAATGACAAAGCAAAAAGGAAACATAAAAATCATAGACCTGGATCTTGGAACAAAATGTCAGCCAGAGTTCCATTCTTTTCATATAGTTTTAACAATGGGTAACTTTATTTATAGAGAAAATTTAAGAGATAATAATCAGGGATTCTTGAATTTCTTTGCCTGTGTCAAAAAAAGCTTTCCCTTCAAGATGAAAGATGACCTGAGACATGTTGGCTGATGAAACTCCTTTCCATAACATTAAATTACAGAAAAGCCCTAATTCCAGCCCCTCCTTTTATCCCATTCTATGGGGGCTCACCAAGCCATTACTTCCCTATTCATCAATCACACCGTGTTCTTAGAAAATGAAGACTTTTAGAGGCAACTAGGTGGTGCAGTGGATAGAGCACTGGCCCTGAAGTCAGGAGGACCTCAGTTCAAATCTGACCTCAGACCAAACACTTGGCACATACTACATATGTGACCCTGGGCAAGTCACTTAACCCCAATCGCCTAAAAAAAAGACTTTCTAAATTATCCCTAGTTCCCCTTTCCATACTCTATTTCTCTGGTAGAATTATAAAGGAAAGGTTAATTTCATAAGCCACTTGTGGAAATGAACCCATTTTGCGAAGGGAAATTGTTGGTCAATCATTTCAGTTATGTCCAACTCTTCATGACCCCATTTGGGGTCTTCTTGGCAGAGATACTGGAGTGGTTTGCCATTTTCCTCTCCAGCTAATTTTGCAGATGAGGAAACTGAGGCAAACAAGGGTTATGTGACTTGCCCAGGGTCACACAGCTAGTAAGTGTCTGAGGCCAGATTTGAACTCATGAAGATGAATCTTCCTGACTCCAGGCCTGGTGTCCTATCCTCTGTACCACCAAGCAAAGGGAAAGAAGCCCGATAATAGAGATGATATCATGCCCCCCTTATGTCTTCTGATTAGTGAACATCATAGTGTGAAAATGCTGCTGCCTTCTTGAGGAGTGGCTAGGAAGACATGAGAGGCAGGCTGTCTGAGAGCTTAGAGATTTACCTTTTCTAAGATCTTTTATTTACTTTTATGCAAATAAAGATAAGATGCTTCAGTGCATCTTGAGCTTTTGAGAATACAAGTGGTACATCAGGATGCTCAGATTCCTTAACATTCCCTCTAAGAGCAGGGAAACTGAGACTTCCTCCCCCTTCTCTCAGTTTTTACTCTGTTATGTGTTTTGTATATATGTACCTGTGTACATGTCATTTTCCCCATATAGAATGTAATCTCCTTGAGAGGACGGACTCTTCCATTTTTTGATCTGTAATCCCAGTCCTAGAACAGTGCCTTGAATATGGCGAGTACTTAATAAATGCCTGCCAGATTCCATAGAACTCAGTGGCAGCTCCAAGGGCTCAAATTTTATGCAGCTATACACACTGAGAGATGACATACCATCATAGTTTAGCTCAGTGGCTAAAGCACCAGGCATGGAGTCAGGAAGACCTGAGTTCAAATCCAACCTCAGACACTAACTGTATGACCCTGGACATATCACTTAACCCTGTTGGCCTCAGTTTCCTCATCTGTAAAAAGAGCTGGAGAAGGAAATGGCAAACCACACTAGCATCTTTGCCAAGAAAACTCCAAAAGGGGTCAGGAAGAGTTAGACGTGACTGAAAATGTCTAAACAACAAACACAACCACTGAAAAATGATATATCATTATGGTATAGAGTTGGAAGCAACCAGAGATGTCATTTAGTTAAAACTCCTCATTTTGTAAGTGAGGAAAACTAGGAAACAGAAGTTAAGTGACTTGCCTGAAGTTACACAAATAATAAGCAGCAGAGTCAGGATTTGAACCCAGGTCCACTATCCTTTTCCCAGCACCGATATCATTCAGGATAAATTTTTAACGTGGTTTCATTGGTTATATAATCACTGGTTTGTCTGTGTGGGTGGGTGGGTATACACATATATGTGTGTGTGTGTGTGTATACATGTATGTATTTATACACATACACACATATATGTATATATAGTGAGCACAAGACAAGCTCTAAAAGAGTCAAGATACTGATGGGAGGTGTTGACCCTTGATGCTTCCAGTGAAGATCATTTGAAAGGGCCTTTGGTCCTCAACTCTTGGCTGAAGCCAATGCAATTAGACATTTGGACAATATTTATTACAGATGCTAAAAACTACCATGAGTGACAGTAACTTGTCTTGGTGTTTAGGTTTGCACATCCACGTTTCGGGCCCATCAAATGTATCCGCACCAAACAAGCAGTGGAGAGAGATGAGGAGCTCACTGTCGCCTACGGATATGATCATAACCCTCCTGGAAAGAGTATGCCCGAAGCCCCAGAGTGGTATCAGATGGAACTGAAGGTCTTCCAGGCTGCCCAGGAGAAGTGAAATACAAACTCGGCTCTTTGGTTTATTGACCTGGAGTAGAAATTTGGATCTATGCACTACGTTTATACTGAAACTGGATAACCAGGGACTGCTCATGCTGTTACATCATATCCTCTCACTCTGTGTTAGCAATGAGTTTCTTGCATACTAACTAGTTTTGACTCTATTACTCATGCTAGGTTTAAAATTAGCTAGCGTTACAACAACACCTGATTGGGAGGTATTATTTAATATTTTGCCTAAAACAGCGTGATGTCCTTTGGGTATTTAGAATCTAAGTCTGCACCATATTCAGAGATGCCAAATGATTTGACTGAAAAAAGGGAAATGGGGTATTTTGGTCTTTTTTGTTCTTTTTTTTTTTTTTTAGTTAGTGGCTTTCCATGATGCTATTTCTATGGCCAATGTTAATGGTGTGATTACACTTTTGCATACATGCCACAGTGGAGGTTAGAGGATTATTAAACTTAAATATTCTCTAAACATAGCATAATTTGCCTTTTAACCTTTGATCTGTATCTTTGCAATAGAATGACTTTGTTTTTCCTAGTGTACAGAAGAAGCCTGGTTTTTTTGAGTCATTTCCCCCTTTCTTAGAAATCTCCTGCAAGGGAAAAACCTTTCTAATGGATTTTGTGTGAGTGGCTATGTATAGATCTCTATGGCGCTCTCTCTATATCTATCTATCTATCTATATCATTGTTTCCTTGTTACATCCTGATATAAATAACTGGTTCTAGGAGCCAGTGTATTTTATAGAATTAATATCCTTGCATGAAAATGAAGAGCTCTTTGCTTTAAGACAAAAAGAAGAAGGGGTTGGATTTACTTGCATCAAACCATGGAAGATTTGTAATATTCATATTCAGAAAGAAAGAGGAGGGAGGAATTAACACCTGGAGGCAGCAATCTGGGGCCATGACAATGCTGTCTTCCTCCCCTCATGGGCCCTACAATAACTTAGATTTACATAACATGAGATATTTAAAGAGCAGTCTTGTTTGGGGCATAGTATATTGAATGCCATGTTCAAAAACCAACCCTGAGTCCCCATGTAGAATGCAAAAAGGGTTAGGGATTTGCTCTTTAATCAAAATAATTATGGCGCAAACTTTGATCTTTAGGATCAGAATAGAATCTTAAGGCAAAAGCTCTTCACCATTGTGTTTGCAAATTACTTACCTGTTTCAAAGCATTGTACTAGTTGTGAATCAAAAATAATACATTATAGTCAAAGCAAATAGCATTTCAGCCACTCTGCAAGCCATATATATTCAAAAAAAATTGCAGAAACAAACAAAAAAAAACCTCTATGTAAGGTAGCTATTTAGGTCTATACTATGACTTGGATTGCTCTGAATGGATTTATAGGTTTGGGGGATTTTGGTTTGTTTTTCAACTGCTTAAACACAGCTAAAGCTTAGCAATATCTGCTTCAGACTGCTTGGGCCATGCCAGCATTTCATTTGACATAGGTCTCTAGGGCAGCGGTGCTTCTAATTTGCAAAGTGTCATTGGTGGAAACTGACACCCAACTAGTCAGCTTAGGCATCTAGTTTAGATAGATAAAGATTTCTGAGTTGTATCAGAGAGGGAGCTATTTGTTGATTGGAAGATGGCAGGGGTATGTGGTGAATAAAGAGGTGAAATCAGCATTTGCTATTTCAAATCAAATCTTAGGTTACTCATCATCGTATGCACCACTACATATTACTGGACTTGATTGAAGGCCCTGAGCCTTTGGTTCAGTTCTCTGGCCACAGAGCTTGCTCTGTGCGGGTTTTGCTGTCAAGGCTTATGCAGAGGCAGCCTCTCCCCTCCCCACCATCTGTGCCGCCATGCTTCCCAGGGTGCTCATCCTGAGCTAGGGCTGTTAACACAAGACCCCATGGTTCCTGAGCTCAGTCAGACCCAGGTGGTTCTCACTATTTTACTAATAGATGTGGCCATTCCAAGACCCGGTATTTATTGAGAGAGTGAATATGATGCTTTTGCACTGGGGAGAGGTGGCAATGGTGAATGAATCCTCCTCTGCACTGCCATAGATCAGCCATGAAGAAGAATGAGTAAGCTGCATATCTTTCTGATCAACAAACACCAAGGAAGAGGGTGAGAATGACCACCACTTTGGGGAAATACCCCATTCCATAAACTGTGATAGAGGGGACAGTGTTTCTTGGACTTACACACTGGTTGTCCTCATGGTGCTTAGGTTTTTATATAAGTGAATGTTTTTGAAGGTGAGTGATCTTTTTTTCTGGGCAGTTAGCAAAAGAAAAATGGATTTAGTTATCCCAGTCATTTGAATCACAGAATTATGAACAATCTAGGACAGGGCAGAGGAACTTCTAGCCAGGGAGGGTAGTTCTAGCCATTGATTTGATGGTTGCATTCCTCAGGGTGATGTTGCCTTGGTCATTGATACTCCAAGTGATAATTTCTCCCCCAGTGGATTCCTTGGGGTAAGCCATTTGGAATGGAGCCTCTAAAGGGTAAAGGATTAGAGTAAGTGACAAGCTGTGAAAAGTGTGTAGTATAATGGAAAGAGCACTGGATCTTGAGTCAGGAGACATGGATTCAAATCCTGACCCTGCTATTTACTATTTGTGTGACCTCAGGAAGGTACTTAATTTTTCTGAGCCTCAGTTTCCTCATCTATTTAACAAAGGGGTGGAATTAGTTGATCTCTCTAAGGTCTCTTCCATCTCCACATCTGATAGGTGACCGCACTCCAAAGCTAATATTCTGAATCAATCATTGTGATCTGATGCTCACCTGAAAACTGACCATCTCCCTGGCCCTATCTCCTTCTCTCTCCCTCTGTCTCCTTACCTCTGTCTCTGTCTTCCAGGAGAGTTTAAGAGAGATAGATTTGTAGGTTTGGAAGGGACCTCATTACAGATGAAGACCAAGACACAAAGTGACTTGCTCAAAGTCTCAGAGCTCAAGGTCCCAGAGACAAGTAGCAGAAGCAAGATTTTGACCCTTGGTCTTCTGTCTCCATCCCCTGTGCACTTTGTCCTACATACATAGCCTGTCTTGCCCACTGGCTCTTCCTTTCTCCTTTCCCCCTCTTCTTTATTCTCTCTCTTTTTTGCATCATATCACATATGTACAAAGCTGGGACAAGGCATTTAGGTGCTCTTGGTGGGGTTTGAAAATTAGATGTTTCCCCTGACTTTTCCTGTCTAGAAAAGGGACAGGAAAACCTCCTTCACTGAAACAAATACAACTCCAAAAAATAAAACCTACATGCCATGGAGAATGGAACTTTATGGCATTAAAAAACATGTGCATTTGTAAAATATGATATCCCCAAAGTCCCTAATTACAACCCCTACATGTTCACATCCTGGGTGACCACCTAACTTGCCTACCTTTGCTCCCATCTCTGTGCATGTGCATGCAGTATACATCCATCAGTTTCCCTCTGCTTCCTCATTCCTTTCTGCTGTCTTTCCTTCTTTTTGTCTCCCTTTCCCTTTCTCTCTCTCCCTTGTTGCCTTTTCCACTAAACTAGACTTACTGGATACTATTTCATATTCCTTGTTTTTCCACTTTAACACCGGTGAGTCAAAAATTGTATTTTGTTGCTTTGGATAAGCTGTGGGAGGTTTATTGGTGGCCCTTGTGGGTGAAGGGAGAGAGAGGAAGATACCCCCAGCCCTCGCCTAAGTTTATGTGAAATGTGTTCATCTGTATCACTATTTATTGCGTGAACAGTCTCCTTCTGAGAGCACTCTGGAAGAATATGAGTCTAGTTTCTAATGGACAGATGTTTGGGGTCAGTCTTGATGGTGCCATATAGAACATAAGGGGTTGCTGACCTTTGTGTTAGCCAGGCTATATCATTGACACTTCTCAGTGGCTTTGCTCATTCTGCTGCTAAAGGCTTTTGGTGCTGATTGTTGGCAAATGTGGAATGGCTACCTAAAGACGATTCTGTCCATACTGACTCTTCACCCCGCTATTTCTTTCAGCGTTGTAGTAGATGGAGCTTCTTGCCTCGTTTTTTCCAATCTGGTCCCCCAGCCCCCAGTCTATTCTATGGGATTTAGTTTAGAGGCTGGACCTCACAGAAGAAAAACAACTTCCACAACAGCCTAGCAGTGAGCATGGAGGGTCTTACATTTTAAGCATTGGTTTTTGAGGTTTTTGTTAAGTCTTCCTTGGAGGCAAAAACTCTGCAAACAAGGCCTAGCCCTGGTTCCCTGTCTTCCAATCTGATTTTTACATTCTTTTGGGGCTCTTTAATCCAAGGAACTTGGGATCTTTTAGTCATTCTTAGACTTGGAGACTAGGCATCTATAAAAGTGCAGGTTTTTGCCCCAAATCTGGATTGGATTTCATGCTTTCTGTATGTAGGTGAAGAAGTTGAGGGTGTAGAGGTTCCCAGGAAAGAATGAGTGTTCCAGGCCTCGCTTCTTCCTTTAGTTATCTCATCTCCATGTATGCCCTCACTGAATCTGGGCACACACGCGTGAATGTGGTGAGGGGTGGGGAGGAGAGCAAGGGAAGAACTTGGCCTTTGCTTGTACCAGAAGCATAATAAAGGGAAGAACCTTGGAATGCACAGGGATGACATGGAAGAGAGTGGATAAGGAAGAAAGCTGGATCACATTCCTTCCCTAGTGTCATCGAGGCGAGGATTTCAAAGATTGAAGGTGAAGGGCCCAAAAGGGCATCTTCTTCATGTTGACAAAAACACCTTGAGAGCTGGTGCATGCTTAGTTGTGGACTAGCCTCAAGGAGCTTTTGTCACTAGGGGTCTCAGCCTGACTCTTTCGCATGCTTCTCTGTTTTCTCAGCATCTTCTCAAACCTTGGTGAAGCAGGAGCTTTGATAAGCATTCAGTCAGAACTGATCCATAGAATCTTATCCCTGAATGGCGTTTGAGTTGGGAAGGAAGAGCTTTCTTCATAGAAAGATCCCAGATGAAAGGAACAGATTAGGACTTGAGTTCTGTTTTGTTTTGTTTTGTTTTTGGGGTTTTTTTTTTTGTATGTTTGTTTGCTTGCTCTGTGACTTGCTTCACCCTGGTCTACCTAAGAAACTCAAGAAGAAAATCAATTTTTAAAAGCCCCTCTAGGAATCAGTTCAGGACCAGAGATGTATTCTGAAATGCCTGAAATATGGAAAAACTCTTATCTTTGTAATGTTAACAACCTGAAAATACCACCAAGGCTAATTTCATTTTAATTGTTCAGGTTGTTGAATATGGTAACAGTAATGTTTCGTCTATAGAAATATGTATCTTCACATATATATATGTGTAATATTTTTAAAAGAAAGATGGCATGGCCTAATGGATACAGATATAGCCTTGCAATCAGGAAGACTTGGGTTCAAGTCCTGCCTGGTCTTCCTGACTCCAAGGTCATATCTCTACCCACTAGGCCATGCTATATGACCATACTACGTCTCTTAACCTCTTTGAACCTCAGGTAACTCCTTGAGTTGCTGATCTGCATGGGTGGAGGGAGTTAGCACACTGGGTGTTTCCTGTGCTGATGATCCAGACCAAGAAAAGGTTTAAAACTCCCCTGGGAGAATATTTTTAAAATATTCAGGTAGAAATGGTAGGCATCTGTTTTTAGAAAGCCAGTCATTCACCCAAGATTCAGTCTGAAAAGTAGGGATGATTTCAAACCAAGGCATTTCTTTTTCTATAGTAAATGATTCAAAAGTAAACAAGCCAGCTAACCAACCAACAGAAAGCTGGTGTCACAGGATCTAATAATTGTATATTTATCTTCCACAGATCAAAGGTGTGCAATTTTTTAAAGATTTCCATTTGAAGCTCCCCAGTAAGATTCTTTCTTGCTTTTTCCCTGTTATAAATTTGAATCTCCTGTTTTGCTTTTTTGTTTTATTTTTAGAAAATTATTAAATTTTAATGCACATTTTATTTTCCAAGCATAAGGATACACATTAAAAGCAATTAAAATATTGAAGCCATACATCCACAGGTGTGGGGAACACTTTCCACAAATTTTAATGCATTTGTATGTAAATAGATGTTTGTATGAGATATTTTCATGGTAGAATGAATATATTTAAATGAAATTGATTTATTCCAGTGCTATTTAAAAAAAAAAGACAAAGTTTTGTGAGGATCTTCTGAGTGCATTAGCAAAGAATACAGAACAATTTTATAAATGTCAGGAGCCTAAAAAATAGTCTAAGTAGCAGTGACTTCTCCTCAGTTGTTACATCTGCTATTGAAGAAGTTAATAGGCTCCATTTCCCCCAGTGCCTGAGTCCCCTCTGGGTAGTAAATTAGGGGCTGATGGAGTCATAGTCACTCTTCAGTCACTAAAGGGTCCTAAAACTCAATCAGAGCCATTAATGCAAATAGTGTGATTACCCAGTGTGGCCGCATCTTCTTAGGGCAGCATCACTGAAATCCACAAGTGGGTGTTGGAAACCTGGAGATGCATTTTCCAGCTGCTATTAACCTCCATCCCTACTGCCCAGGCACAGACCCAGTTAGGTTGCTCTTAGTGAAGATCAGGTTAAGCCTCATTCTCAGGGTGGGGAGATCCCCAAAGTTCTGTCGATAGCTCCTGCGTACACATCTTCACCCTCCAGAAGGAGGGGCTGGAGAAAGAGCAGAGAGCATCAACCAGCATTTTACAGAGTGGCGAATTACCTAATCTCAGTTCTGGAGTAAATGCATTTTCCTGAACTCCTAACTTACTACCAGAGAGACACCTATTCAGACAGGAGGAGAATCTTGCCCCTTCTGTATGGAACAATTATGCACTCACAGTTGTTTGAAGTCATTTTAATATTAAGACCAGTCGAATTTCTAGGACATACCTTTCAATTATCCCTCAAAAATGAGAAAGTAAAATTTTGTTACCATGGATTATCAAGACTTGAGTTTTCTTAATGGTGCCTCTTGGATAAAATAAAATGAGTAATTTTGTTATGATTAATTTTCAATGTATGTGCACACATCCTAATACAGATTTAGGTGGTTCAATTTTTTGCTACTATAATTTTGATTCTAACATAAGAAAATTCCCAAGCACAGAGCTATAACTATGGTAGAGTGGCAGGGGCTTTGACCCAGGGCAACAAAATTTGAGCTTGGCACTTAATTAACAAGAACAATTAATTAGAATAGGATGGCAACAGACAGTATCTTTCCCCCAACACTAACCAATATACCCCAATTGAGCCCCTCCATTGTGGGACCCATCACAGTGGTGGCCTCATTCACCTTCAGGGTTTCAGTGTCTTGGACGGGGGCGGGGGTAGCTGTCTTCTCATTAAGGGGCATTGTCCTGAGATTTCTGCCTTCCTCCACCCTCAACTGAATATATCTGAAAGAAAAAAAACCAAACTAATTTGAGGGTATGCTTTGTGAAGCTTTCCATTGGCACAAAAATTCCTAGTTATGGCTCTATACCTATACAAATTGCTTCAATAATTTTTCTTCTACTTTTTCATTTAACCTGAACTGTCACTTAGTAGATTGTAAGGTATGTTTAAGGGTTGAAAGATTGGGGTGAGTTTGCAGAAGACACCGCAGCAAAACAGGAACCCCACCCCACTGTACCATGCAAACATTCTCGATTGGTCTCTTACAGCATTTAAACAAAATTGATAAGCCTTATCCAACATCTGTAGAGTTGTGATTTTTAAAACTATGGGAAACTAATGAAAGATGTTTACATGAATGATGTTTGCCCTTATTGAGTTTTGAATGAGTTTTTATAGTGTGTCTGGGTGCATGTATAAGGAAGTAGGAAAAATGTTTCTGAAATAAAACTTGACAAATATTTGTAATGAGAAGTGAATTTTAAATATTGCTATAATTGCGCTATAGAAGCAAAGCAAGTATTAAACAAAAAAAATTACAATCTTGTCTTGTCATACTTCTCTTTTTTCCTCCTTTATAGGTACTTGTACAAAGGATCCATATCCTTTCCAGTGGAATGCTTAATATTATACAAGATCTCATTTCGAACTAAGTTTTTGTGAAACACTCATGATTCCCCTAGTTTGTACAAAATGTTAGAACAGGTGCTCTGGAGGTCATCGGCAATACTAAAGAAAGGCAGGGATAGAGTAATGGAGAGACCATTTTGGAGAATAAGTATCTACGTCTAAATTCCATCTCCAAAATTAACTGGCTGCAAGACTCTGTCTCTTTTTTTTTCTTACCACCACCATAAAAGGGCTCCTCCATCTCTAAATCTATGATCCTATCGTCTTTGTTCTTACAATCTAATTGGAGAGAAAAATCATGTATTTATGAAACCACATTTTAAAAGCAATATGGGGAAGATTACCAGCACTTTTTCCCGCCCCACCACCCCCTCTCCCACAAAAGTACAGATAGAATATGCACACAAACACACCCACACACACTAATAAGGAAAAAAATTATTCCTAGAGTCGAGTCATCAACGAGCAAACATTGAGTGCCTAATGATGCAAGCCAGTGTGCTAAATAAGTTCTGGGGATACAAAGGAAGGCCAAGGGCCCTGCCCTTAAGGAGCTCATAAGCTAATGGAGGAAACTATGTACAAACTATGTACAAACAACATGTGATCTGGTGTCACTGGATTGCAGGGTATGTGGGCAGAGATGGGGAGTAAGTTGTAAGAAGATTGGAAGTGTAGGAGGGGGGCCAGACTAAGGGCTTTGATTGCCAAAAAGAGGATTTTCTATTTGATGCTGAAGGTAACAGAGCAAAAGGAGTTTATTAAGTGAGGGTGATGTCAGAGTTGTACTTTAAGGAGATCATCAGAGTTAAGGATGGACTGTAGCTGGGAGAAACCTGAAGCAGGAAGATCAACCAGTGGACGAAATTCCAGGTAGATGGTGATGAGTGTCTGCACCAAGGTGGGTGGCATTGTGAGAGGGGACAAAGTACATGGTAGAGATGTTACAAAGGTAATGGTTTAGATATGGGGTACCACCACAGTACCACCCCTCACTTGCTTATGACTGGAAATAGACTCACCAGTGTTCCATGTGTTGGTAACAAAAGAATAAAGAGTCAAGGATGACACCCAGGAGGATGATGGTGCCTTCCACAGTGATAGGAAAGATAGAAAGAGGAGAGGGGCTTAGAAAGAAAGATTATGAGTTCAGTTTTGTACATGTTGAGTTCAAGATGTTTATGGGGTATCTAGTCCAAGATGTCCAATAGGAAGTTAGAAATATGAGTCTCGAGATTAAGAGAGAGTTTAGGGCTGGGTAAGTGGATCTGAGAATTATCAGCATAGAGATGATTTTTGAATCCTAGGGAGCTAAAGGAGGAGGTGCGTTGTGAGTCATAGTCTTGAAGGAGATAACCAGACGGCGCATAGTAGAAACTTAATGGTTATCGATTGATTGACATGAGTTGATAGATGTGAAAGATACAGAGTAATATTTCAAGTGAAAAGATTAGCACAGAGATGAGAATTAGGAAGCATTTCATAAGAGATTACAAATAGATTGGCTTACTTGGAATGGAAGGTCCAAGTTTTCTTGCCTCCAATATCATGCACAAGCATGAATATATCACTTAACTCTCTTTGAGCTTAAATTTCTTCATCTGTAAAAAGGGGAAAACATCTGTAACATCACAGAACCTTAGTGTTTCTACCTCCCACGGTTGCTGTGAAGATCAAGAAAGATGATTTGTGTAAAAGCACTTTGCAGAATTTGAAAGACTATATAAATATGAACTATAGTTTATCCTCCTCTGAGAAATGAGAGAATTGGGCAGAATCGTCTCACAGGTGCCATTCATTTCTAACTTTTCATGACTCTGACTCTAAATTCCTAGTGTAGCACTCCCCTCTGTGACCATTCTCCCACCCCATCTCCAACTTGCTCTGACAGGTTGGGTCCCCAGAGGGGAGCTGACTTTTTCTCCCTTCATGGTGCAGTTTCCTATTAGGTATATCGAGGTTTCTGTAGAGAGTGTGCTGAAGCCTAAAGTACAAAGTTAGGCTCATGTATAGGAAACACAT